AGAACAGCCTGTGTGCAGCACATTCAGTTGGAGGACATCAAAGACGAGAGATTCGGTTGAGTCTCTCGTGAAAACGAAACTGATTTGCAAATGAGTGTATTTCTCGCAGTACTAAAATACTGTCAAATGGTATGGGCTTTACCAGACACAATCTCGGATGACAAGAACAGGGAAACTTCATTTAAAAATTGTCCGCGTGCTTGTTACTGGAGTCAGTTGATAATAGCATCATACAGACTCAAATGAAGGTAGTATATAACAGAGGTCATTTGCAGTACAGAAGTGTAAAGATTCGCAAAAATTTGATAAGCGCGCAGTATTCACTGTGAAAGCGTTGAAGACAGAGGTCATCATCAACTATCGCACTTGCACTTACTCCTTCCGTCCACAATTGTCGACGATGCTGTAAGGGCTTTCGACTATGTGTACGCACAATCTACAGTTTCTAATCAACCTGCGTCATCTTCATCATCATCATCGACAGGATGACATCAGTTTTCAACACCGATGCTTCACTGCCGTGGGTCCCCACTTGACCCACTGCTGGATGACCTATTCGTGACTTTCTATCCGTTCAAACTCGTGAGAATGCCATCCATATATCCACGGCCGATAACGAGCTAGTGGATGGCTTCCTCGAACACGGTATCCTCCATCCAGTAACAAGAAACGCGCCCATGACCGCAACTTCTCTCTTGAGATAAAGCTTGTCGTTTGTATTCAAATCGCATTTTATCCGCACAGAGCGGAAGTAGCTTTGGTGAATCTTTAATGCAAATATCCCTATTACTGTCTATCTGGCAGTTGCGTACGTAGTGACAATGAGACGGAAGCTCATGGAAAATGAGCTGACGTCAAATAAAAGCATGTCAGGGTTAGCGACAATGGCATCTCTGTTGGTGTCAACGAAACAAAATCTGCCATCTAGGGGTGCGCACTTCCTGACTGAATCTAGATTGTCAGTGAACCAGTTGGTTACAGTATGGTTTATGGGGTTTTGGAGTCATCCAGAGCTGGCTGCAATACGAGTCCGAGCTTGTGTGGTTTAGGCAGACCGTAATAGAAATGTTAATCCCTCTTTTCGCTGCTTTTTGATATCGTTAGTCGACAGAATGATGCTAGCTGATTGTCCGCGTACGCCACGCTTGAATAGCTCGTCTGGAGGTTGCGCATCACCGTTACTCATTTGAATTATCGTCCACCTGTCATAGTAGGAGTTTTCGCTAAACACACATTCCAAAGTAGATCAGAGACACCACTGTTCCAATCATTATCCTGTTGTGCGCCTGTAACAATTCAGCATCACCTCGGTGTCGCACTAGTGTCGAGACGGAGGTTTTGTTCAATTTGACCGTTTCTTTTCATATTTTAACTGCGGTAACACAATACTTGAGCAGTTTCCTTTAAACTAAATTTCCCAGGTAGTTTAGTCGACGCGTGGGGAAGGGGGTGTCACCGCTGCACAAACCGCTCATGGTCATTGTCTGAGACGGTTTCACTTCGTGTTGGTCACAAATATCACCAGGCCGTGTCTAACGAATGAAAACAACCCATGTCCTGATGACAAAATGCTAACAAAAACTAAATCAATACGTTCCCTTTAAAGAATCGCAAAGGCTTCATCGTATTTCCGTTTTGCTCAACGCTGGGGTCAGTCCTAACCATATGCCCTCAGAAAGGTGTGTCCTTCCTTGTCGATGCTATGAAGCTAAAATGAAATGGCCACCTAGTGCACTAATCATAAGGTTGCTGAAAATTCTTCGACAACCAGTTTTGCCGTTCTTGGGGCTTATCACGTGGGCGTAGTCCACGAGTTTTTGTCGACCTTACATTTTATTTGAAACCAAGCTGCACGAAATTAATGGATTACGCTCATTTGCAAACAAGTTTGGTTTTGCGGGAGACTCGTCTGGAAACCCAGTTGAATCATTCGTTTATGATGTTTTCAAGCAACTGAATGTGCTGCGTACAAACATCATAAACGGGAGATTCAGCTGGGTTCCAGGTAAGTCTCTCGCCAAGCCAAATATGTTCGCAGATGAGTGTATTTCGCAAAATGAACACCTACTCATCTGCTGCTTCCGAAAGGTGCTAAAAACTCACATGGTGAAAAACTGTATGGATCTTTGGAATCTTATTCAACAATTTGAGGTGAATACACCTGGTAAAATCATGCACTTTGCCCGAATTTGGTTTAATTCTCGTACAAAACATTTATCTTTGCCTTTTGACCGCTGCCGATGAGCATTCCCAACCTAGACGGCAAAAAGTGTCAGGTATTGATCGATCAGTACGATCGATCGAATCTTTAGTAGGCCAGGCGCGAAATGAAATAGATGGCATCAACTGGACTCCCACTTGAAAGTGGGGCAGAGACGTACCGGAAATTACTGACCTTGTCAGTCTCATTTGGGGGAACACGACGCAACGGATCGATATGCTCAGCAAAAATCAGCGTTCAACTTACATGGTTGTAAATCGATGTGAAATTCAAACAAGGGCAGATTGCCGGTAGCCTTGATCTGCTCATGAATTCAGTCTCACACTCAAATATGCTACATCGGACCAAGCGGGCAGTTTGACCAGTTTACAACAAACCTGATTACAGAAAGCGCGCTTTAAAAACTCTCAGCAGGGATAAACTAATGGAAAAATAAATGTAGTTCACTGGCAATATTTCACTTGGTAATTCACTTGTGTATCACTGTAAACAAGGTAAAGTTTCCTGAAACTAAAAGCAATGACCGCGAAGGTAACAAAGGATTCGTTTTTGGAATCTCCATTTATTTAAATGATATTACTGCAAGTTGATGTTTTGCTCTGTCATCCATTCAGGTCGAATTCATTTCCACAAGCCCCGTCAGATCTCATTTGTTAATAAACTCTTGTGATATTAAAAACCCCAAATTTATTTGATTCTGACTGGTAATGATTCTATTGGTTATGTATGCCAAAACAATGCTTATATGTAATCAGTTCAACAATTCAACGCTTGTGATGACTAACTTTGTGACTCACTGAATGTCTGATCGCATCACGTGCATCGCACTGAGTCACGTGATAACCTGCAAGCCAATCAGACACGGGATCTTAGTTCGGTTCACTGATGTTAAGGCGCAGCCAATCCTGAAGCAGTTCGCTGCCCACTCTGTAGATCAGTGTTTTTTAACATCTTGCCTCATGAATTCTTCTCAGTAAATTGCGACTCTGCACTGCTGCACCAAATTTCTGGTGACGGCAAGGTCCAGTGTTGTTGCGGTTTTTTTTGTTGTTGCGGGGTTTTTTTGTTCTTGCAAAACAAATTTATCTAGAGAACAGACGATTCACATGCAATGGTAGTGGTTTGGCAACTGGGTCCATTGTGTCATCCAGACACGCTGACGTAAATGACAATGTTCAAACCAGTTTATTGTTTCACATGCCAATACTGGCAGGTATTACATTAGTCATCACCTTTTCGGGTTCCGGCGTAATCAGCACAACAACACTCTGTTCTCTCTACCGGTTGTGATCCGCTAGCATCAGTTTATTCGACAAGTGCACTCCGTACGGTGAAGATTTCAACTGGGGATAACCTATAAACGGTAGAACTAACAGACAACGTGATCTTACTAACAAGGAACCTGAAGAGACGGGGACTTGAAGCGATGCACAATAAACTCATCAAATATCGCTGTCAGCGGTAAAGTGTTGAAGGATATTGGAATGACTTACAGCCATTGTTGGATGAATATTCATTATCCAAGATCGAGCTGCTCTCGAGCCCTCACTTCATTCTCGGTGAGGCCTCATTATGTTGCTTTATGACCCTCTTCAAACTTTGGTGAGTGTTCTTTCGTCATCTGGCTGTTCGTTATGATACCTGATACGGCAAGCTGTGCATAGGAGATGTTGCGATTTTGTTTTGTTAGAAATTTCGACTCGTCGTCTAGTTTAGGGGAATAAATGCAATCCCAGATCGAGCCCAGCGGGAATACAGATAAGAGTAACGCGTACAAGGCGCAATCGGTCACTTTTACTGTGCTCCCGTGCATGATCTCACTGGTCACTTCCAAAACGGATTATCGCTCGTCCTATGGTGTTAAAAAGGCACGTTTCGATTGAACATCTGTAGACCAGTTCTTATGTCCTCAACTAATCCAGCCACCGTTGATATTTAGTGGCCTTTGGCTTATTGTCAGTGGTCGGTGTAATGATCGAGTTAGTGAGAATTACTACTTGTGTGACGGTGATACTACTGATGGGGAGGCATGCGAGTAGTATGTTTTCTCGTAAATCCGCTTTGCGTCTCTTGAAAAGTGAGATTTAGTGCGGACTTTGTGGATTCACTTCGTGGCATTTGCTTGGATTTGAGCAACAGTAGGTGAATATCCAGAAAAGTTCAGGAGAGAGGATGGATATTCAATTTTTGTAAATAAGATGCATATGCGAGTTTTGCTTCCGTGTCCAGCAGTCTGTAGCTGTTCAGTTGGTATTTTCTAATAAATAACCACGCAGTGAAGGCCTTCTTCCTTTCACTTGTACGATCGTGAAGCAATGGTTCCCACCGTTTTTTGCATGAAGAGTGGGGAACATCAACGTTTGGCAGAATTACTCGAGCCCAGGTGATTTCAAACAGAACGCATGCACTGATACGTAAACGCATGCATCCCAAGGTCAAATTGCCGAAAGCAGCGATCAGCTTTCGTGTTCAGATGTTCCCACTAACATAAAAACCAGTGTTGTATCTTGCGGTGACTGTCTATGGGTTACGCCCGCGCTGAGCCTGCCAGACTACACGATAGGGAGAAGACAGAGAACTGGGGACACGGCTGTATTGCCAGGACAAAACATACAGAGCGTCTGCGTAAATATATAGGATGACTAATTGGCCAAATATGGTCGTTCACTTGTTCGTTCCGTAAAGCCAATGGTGGTGGTTCGGTCGTGAAGCTCTCAGGCCCACTACGCTGGTCGTATGTTGCTGAGCCGTGTTTGGTGAGAGCCGCCAACTCACCTACTTTCCGGACGTGTCGTACCGATGGTGGCCTTGGGGATGCGTCACTCTCTGCACATGCGCTTTTTCTTCCGTCTGGGCGCGTCCTGACAAACAGAAACATCAAATAAACAAAACATCAACCGAGAAATGTGCCTGCATTTCGAGAGTCTCGTTCCTCAAAGCCGAAAAGGTGCCCTTTTGCGTGCACTCTTCACCAAGTAACATATTCTCCCTCCGAAACTGTTTCAGCCTAAACCGTAGAAGATGCCGGTAATGTATCGGAATATTTCTAGATCAGATGCGTTAAATGATTGTCGATCAGACCACCCGGTAAATAGCTTACAAACGTTTCGTCTACCATTCGAGGAAACATCATCAGTGTGCACTTTCCTCACATCAGCCTTGCAGTACAGCGTAGAGCACATTCCATACGGCCAACCTAGTGTATGTGGCTAAAATAAAGAGAAAATGCATTCTTTCTGTCCACCTCAAACCGCTTTTATAAACCTCAGAATGTGGATCGAACGGAAAGCCATCTACCCCGTGACAATTGATCACATCGCTATTTCGATCGATGGGCAGTTTTGTAAACAACCTCCGCAAGACATGCATTAAACTGAACTGGTGAGCAATGGTCACTCGTAAACGTCTATCATCAAACTATAGTATAATACTTGCGATTGGCAGCAGATGTGTTAATGGGACGTTTTAAACAGAGTCTTGGCCAGTATAGGTAATGGTCTGAGCTTGATTTTACCGAGGTAATACAGGGTGCATGAATACTCGACTTGACTAATGTTCCTTAACTCCGATTTCTCTCCGTTCCTATCCAACCAAACCTTTTTCGCGTGTTTCGCATAGGTTGATGTACCACGAACTTCACTGGGTTTTTTTTCGTTCAGTATCGATTACTCACCCTTCATCTAACTCCAGTTCCCCACTGATTCATTGATTGTTTTCCACGCCCTTGCGATATCTGATTTGACTCTCTAATGAGATGTCGCGAAATTACATGATCTGGAAAAATTGTTTCACTTTGCACAAAAAGTTGATGTAGTCCAGCGAAACTGTTGATGAAACGCTTTTGGTCTCGTCAAATCCCTGCTGGTCACTACAATGCTGCTGAATACCACTCGTCGACCCCCTGCCATTTTTGCCCGTCATTCATTTTCATCTTTCGGTGAAACCCGAAGCACTTTCCGGAGTGTGAGGTTGAAAAAGTAAGTTTGTTTATCACGGGCTAGAGATGCCGCAACACACCCAGGAAAGTGCGTGCTTATTTCTGTTTGCGTATTGAAGCGTTTGGCTATCGATGAATCGTCAGAGCGTTCCATCTGCAATGCATGGGACCTGATGACAAAATTCACTAAACAAACTACTCACGTGGTTGCTGAAAACGCTTCGACAGTCCACTACTGGTTTCGCCCTCCAGTTCGGGCTCATCAGGTAGACGCAGTCCCCGAGTTTCGATGAACATCGTGTTCTAATTAAACCCGAATTGCACGAAATTAGCGAAATACACTCATCTGCGAAAAAATTGGTTTTGCCGGAGACTCACCTGGAATCCAGCTGAATCTTTCGAATATCGTGCCAACTGAAACATGAGGCGGCCTGTGCGCAGCACATTCAGTTATAAAATATCATAAAACGAGAGATTCAGTTGAGTCTCTCGTGAAAACCAGTTTGATTTGCAAATAAGAGTATTTCTCGAATACAGTCCAATTCGGGTTCAAGTAGGTTGACGGAAACTCGGGGACTGGGCCTACCTGATGAGCCCGAACTGGAAGGGCAAAGCCGGTCGTGGGCTGTCGAAGAGATTCCAGTAACCTTATGAGTAGTTTCCTTGATGAAAATATACCGCAATATCTCGAATATCGTGCCAAGTGAAACATAAGGTGGCCTGTGTGCAGCACATTCAGCTGTAGGAAATCATAAAACGAGAGATTCAGTTGAGTTTCTCGTGAAAACCAAATTGATTTGCGAATGAGTGTATTTCTCGAAAATTCACTGAGGTTTTAGGAGAAATCTGTGCCGGATCTAGATTCTCAGTCCTTACTGGGACATATCGGTGCGTGTAGTCACACAGGACACGTGACCATTCGTTTGACCGTTTGTGGTCCGTTTACACAGGTTGTGTAGGTTATTAACCCAAGGAATACTGGGCAATTCCCACACACACAGGCCAAGCGCTGCGATCGCGCCCGATCAGACACAGGCCTTGTGCGCTCGGTAGCTCTCCAGTGCATGGGTGGATCATGGACTGTTGGTTCTCTCCTTTGCTACCTGATTTCTACGGGCCCACCGGAATCGCTGTTAGTAGGCCAATTCAGTTTGTACGGTTTTGGTCGGTGATAAGCTCGCATTAGGAGGCTTGCAATCCGTCCGCATTTGTGGCTTACTGTGGCCACTTGTCCGATCCTCCTGAGCCCAGTCGGCAACCCTCGTTTGGCTGAGTCCGAGTCTTTGCTGTTGACCTATTGTGCGCTGAAAGGGCACAGAAACTCCGATGACGTACCCTTTACATACTCAACAGGAGACAGTGTTTCCGCAGATTTAATGGAAGTTGCCTATTCCTTCTTGTCGGCCATAGTTTTTTGCCCTGATTTGAGTTTCGCAACACAGAGTTAGTCACTATGAGCGCATCAAATGCTTTCAACTTTTGACATCATACCTCTGGAAGCCCTCTATGATCCGCGTCACTGGTGTGACAAAATTAGAGGGATTCAGTGATGCCGGGAAAACTAAATAACACCTTACGACTCAAACCCACTGAGGAATTCTGGAAATACCTATCACCGATGAGAGATTGACCATGGGTCGACCTGAGTTGACAGTTCTGAAGGAAGCTTTGGACATGTGTAGGTAAGTCACGATTTTGACGCGTGATTATGAGACAGGGGTAGTAGGTACCGGTGTGAAATTGATTGGAGGAATAATTAAGCAGAACGGTAAGCGTTACAAATACCCCCCCCCCATCCGCTTTAGAGAGGGACCATATAGGCGCTGTCATCAGTCAAGGTTGCAGATGAGTCACATCTTGTCTGGTGATGCACGTTGTGGGTGTGGAAAAAAACAAAGCACGAAGAAGACAGTGGATGCGGATGCACTAATCAGATTGGGCAACCACTGCAGGTACGCGTTCTGAGGCTGCAACATCATTGGATTTCCTGCTGTGAATTCCATATTCCTGTTTACCTCTAGGTAACTCCCACAAGAATCGGGGGATTCGTTGACCTGCGTATGGCAGTATTTAGTAATTGACATAATTTGTTGTCAATTTGTCGAAATATAGGTAGTTCGGGTGTGTTTACTGGTGGTTGACCGGATGGCAGTTGATCTGTTCGCCGAGCTTGGCAACTGGCTTGCAAACGTTTCGTCCCCAGTCGAGGAGACATTGTCAGTGCGCAGTTGAATGGGTGCTTCCTCCGTGCCTAGCTG